TCATGTCATTCCTCGATGCCTTCCGTTGATATCACCAGATCTTCATGCACGAGGAAGACGCTGAAAAAACAGCCTTCATGACTCCCGAAGGCATATTCTGTTATTTAGTCATGGCCTTCAGCCTGAAGAACTCCGGCGCCACTTACACCCGGATGGTGGCCAGGGTTTTTCAAGCCGTCCTCGGGCGCACCATAGAGGCCTATGTTGACGACATGATCGTCAAAAGCAAACAATCATCAAGCCACGCTGACGACCTCCGGGAGATCTTCGCCATCATGCAAAAATTTAACCTTCGGCTAAACCCGAAAAGATGCACCTTCGGCGTGCAAGGAGGCAAATTCCTAGGCTACATGGTGAGCCAAAGGGGTATCGAAGTCAACCCCGAGAAAATCCAGGCCATCATCAACATGGAGCCCCCACGCAACGTAAAGGAGGTTCAGCGGCTGACGGGCCGCCTAACAGCCCTAAATCGCTTCCCGTCCAAGTCGGCGGAAAAGTCCCTCCCCTTCTTCCAGCTCATGAGGAAGACCGCCGACTTCCAATGGACGTCAGAATGCCAGGAGGCCTTCGATGAGCTGAAAAGGTACTTATCTTCACCCCCTGTGCTCTCTAAACCCAAGGTGGAAGAGACTCTGTACCTTTACCTTGGCGTTAGCCCTGCTGCCATCAGCTCAATGCTAATCCGGGAAGAGGACGGCATCCAACATGACATCTTCTATGTTAGCAAGACCCTCAGGGAGGCGGAACTCGGATATTCTCCCGTAGAGAAGACGGTGTTAGCTATTGTTTGGACCGTCAAAAAGCTAGGCCATTACTTCCAGGCACACCCTGTCCAGGTCCTCACGCACCAACCCCTCGGCTCTTTGATGAAGAGCCCCACCAGCTCCTCCCGGATGGTGAAATGGGCCATCTTCCTCAGCCAATACAACATTGACATCCGTTCGAGGCCTACCATAAAGGGCCAAGCCCTGGCAGACTTCGTGACAGAGTGCACGGCAAGATCAGCGGTGGATGAGGAGCCCTCGGCACCCTCGGACAAATGGTGGACCCTCTATACCGATGGCTCCTCAACAACCAAAGCATGCGGAGGAGGGGTATTCCTCATTACGCCCGAAGGCTTCCGCGCCTACTACGCCATCCGCTTCTCCTTCAAAGTCTCAAACAACGAAGCGGAGTATGAGGCCCTCCTCTGTGGCCTTTGGCTGGCGGCTAACATGAAAGCCAGACAGATCCACGTGAAGTGCGACTCCAAGTTAGTCGTCGGCCAGATTTCAGGGGAATATGAGGCCAAGGAGGGGAGAATGAAACAGTACAAGGAAGCGGCCAAGGAATTGCTTAAGGTATTTTAGGCACACTCTCTCACTCAAATACCGAGGGCTCAAAACTCTGAGGCCGATATCTTATCAAAGCTCTCGGTCGAATCCCCATAGCACCTCTCATAGATCGCGAGAATTGACGAACTCAGCCTCTCAAGCATACACGCTAGCCCCATCATGAACATACAACAAAGGCCCGAGGATTGGATTTCAGACATCATGAACTTCATCTCCACAGGGCACCTTCCCGAAGATGAAACCCACGCAAAGCTGGCAAAGCTGAGGGCTCCCAGCTACACCATCGAAGACGGGAGGCTTTACAAACGATCCTACAACAGCACGTTACTCCGGTGCCTACACCAGGATGAAGCCGAAATTGCAATGGAGGAAGTGCACGGTGGCACTTGCTCAGCTCACCAGGGACCCTTCTCCATGTCCCGAAGGCTCATAGTTCAGGGTTACTTCTGGCTCACGATGGCCCGAGATTGTGCAGACCTCGCCCGAAGGTGCGCCGCCTGCCAACATTTTAAGAAGGCTCCTGGGAAGCCGGCGGTTAACTATGCCCCCATAAGTACAGCAATACCCTTCTTCAGGTGGGGAATTGACCTTGTGGGCCCACTGCCGAGGGGTACCTCCAACAACCGGTACATCATCGTTGCCATTGACTACTTCACGAAATGGGTGGAGGCGGAACCCCTCGCCAGTATTACCGAAGCCAAATGCCGTCATTTTGTCCTCAAAAACATCCTCATGAGTTTTGGCGTCCCCAAACAAATCATCTCCGATAACGGGACTCAGATTGAGGCAGTCCCCTTCTGCGCCCTCCTAGAGGCATGGGGCATCAAACACACATTTTCATCCGTTGCCTACCCTCAAGGCAACGGGCAAGTGGAGAACGCCAACCGAACTCTGCTTGAGGGCCTAAAGAAGAAACTGGAAGCCGAAGGGGGAGGCTGGGTAGAAGAGCTTCACAACATCTTATGGGCCTATCGCACCACCCCTCAGCGGGCAACAGGCGAGACACCCTTCTCCCTTTGCTAAGGGTTCGAGGTTAAGGCTCCCACAGAAGTGACCCTTCCTACCCGAAGGGTGGCCCGATATGACCCCGAGGTCAACGACACCAACATGGCCCTCGACCTTCACCTCATCTCAGAACGCCGAGAGCAAGCCTTCCTAAGGGCGGAAAACTACCGAAGACAAGTGGAAGGCTACGTCGATGCCAAAGTTTGTTCTCGAGAATTTCAAGTGGGGGACTACGTCCTCCGAAGGAGAGAAGCTAGCTAGCCAACCGAGGGTGGCAAGATGGCACCAAAGTTCGAAGGCCCCTAAATCGTCACAGCCATCATCAAACCAGGAACGTACAAGCTCAAACGCCCCAATGGGACCGAGGTCCCTAGACACTGGAATGTACACCACCTGGTGAAATTTTATCAGTAACGTATGAGAGGCCAAACCCTCATGAATTATGAATGTACTTATCCAACTGCCCAAGGCCTCCTATTTTTCAAGAATAAATGCATGTTGAAGACACCAAAAGTACCAAGTACACAACACACATGAGCGGCCAAGCCCTCATGCAAGCTCCTGGCCCAAGGCCTTCTCACAAGACCCCCAGGCACCAAGTGCCGAGGGAGGACGCTCCAATCAACTACAGAGATAAAACACCAAGTGTTTTTGAAGGCGACCCCTCGGTACCGAGGGCATTGTACGACAAATAACACCAAGTGTTAAAAATAAAGTCGTACCCCTAATATGCCTGAAACGCTTTCTGCACCATTACCCCAAGGGAATGGCAGGCAACTAATATGCCTCAGGATTCGACTTTCAAAACGAAACGCTTCCCGCGCCATTACCTCAAGGGAATGGCAGGCAACAGACTATGTCTCGTGCTGAGGGAACGACTTTCAAAACTGAGGCGCTTTCCGTGCCATCCCCCAAGGGGAGGCAGGCAACAGACAACGTCTTGTGCCAAGGAAACGACCCTCCATCCCCTCGGAACCCAGAAGGTTAATCCCGAGGGGGGAGCCAGTGGTGTATACTATTGCCTCCCGATAGGCCAAGCCTTACCAAGAAACCAAGTTTCTTGAAGCCTTCCCTTCATTATCTCAAAAAAAAATGGGGTGAAAGGGAGTAGACTCAACGAGCAATCAATGAGTACAAGTTTCAACATTCACAACAAAACACCCAACGGCGGCTACCAAGAATGCTCCTCACAAGGCATTACAGATTATACCGAAGGCTCCCCTGAGGGCTCTTATTCAAGATTATACCGAAGGCTCCCCTGAGGGCTCTTATTCAGGAAGTCACCTTTGGCATTGGCCCTTATTCCGAAGGCTACTATCCACTAAAGTGTTACCAAAATGTGGCCAAGTCCACGTTCTGCCAGCCCCCGGCATTTCAACACATACCGGAGGCATCAAAACGCTGTATATGGGACTTAATTTCCAAAGCCTACATTTTGAAAATTAACACCGGAGGCTCTTGCTATGCAGCACCTTCCATTCCAACATGGACCGAAGGCACCAACCTTCATGTTTCAGGCTGAGATCATCTAAGCCTACAGTTCGAAAGATAAGGCCGAAGGCACCATAGTCAACACCGGAGGCTGCTGGTTGCAGACCCAATACAAATTTCTCTAAGTCCATGACTTAGGGGCCCCGGCATCACCATCCTTTGCTGAAGAAAACTTTGCTTAAGACTACTACCAACCGAGGGCACATTCATGGCATCACTCAAAATTTGGCTAAGTCCACACACCGGTTCCCCCGGGGACATATGGCAAGGGCCGGCTACTTCATACAACTGGTGGGATGTGTCAGTCGAGGGCCTAGTGGCAAAGCACCACTTGAAAAGTGTCTAAGTCCTAAATCTTAGGTCCTCAGTCAGCTCGTAGCATTCATGCGGACTAAAGGGAGACATCACCCGAGGGCCCATCAGTGAATATTGCTTAGAAAATTTTCTAAGTCGTAAACTATTGGCCCCCGGCCACCAATGAAGGAGGGCTTACAACTCACACAACACGTACAAGGCACACGAAAGAAGATGTCAACCGAGGGCCAAGTTGTAAGCAACATTTAGGAAAATTTTCTAAGTCCTAAACTTTTGGCCCTCGGTCAACACATGACAAGCTACACAAGACAAAGAAGGAAGCATCGACTAAAGGCCTAGCACTGAACAACATTTAGAAAAAATTTCTAAGTCCTAAGTGATTGGCCCCCGGTCAACTCACAATGCAAACATACATTCTTAAAGCTGTCAATTCAAACATCAGGAAACGAAGGCATTCATTCACAAGAACAAAAACGAAGGTGTTGGGGTATACTACCCCGGCCTGTTACTGTTCAAAGGCCCAAGGCTTCACCCGGTATGGACCCCAGTTGGCGAGGCCCATTTAGGCCCCTCGGGCCCATTTAGATCCATTTAGACCCACTCGGCCTACTTCGGGTGGTTTGGGCCCGTTAGGCCCATTAGGCTAGAAAGCCATCCCCCTCCCCTCTATAAATAGGAAGCTTGGCTTCCATATTACGGGACTGGGTTTTTCTTCTCTCCTTGGAGGCTTGTAGCTTGGCTCCTGGCTCTTTCTTTTAGTTATAGCAAGCTCCATTAATGGAGAGGGGACATTTTGTATTATGTAATTGGTGAGGAGAGCATATTAATGAAAAAGAGCGGGCTTGGACGTTAGCCTAAAAAGTCCCGTGGTTTTCTCCCTTTCTGGGTTTCCACGTAAAAATAGCTCGTTTATACACTTTTATATTGATTATTCACTTTTATACGGAATTGATGATCCTTAATATCCGAAGTTATGTTGGGCTTTCGGATCTACGGGACTAAAAACCAACATTGGCGTCGTCTGTGGGAAACGCTTCAAAAAGCATAACATGTTGTTCTTGATTCTACAAAATTATTTGATAAAGGCTACTGATTCCACGAAGAAAAGAGAGAGAAAATTGTTTCTGGAAAAACACAACAAGAGAAGAACAGTAGAAGGCCAGGACTCCAGCAGCTTGCTCATCATTCAGGTGGCTGCCCCCATGTCCTGAAGTAAACGCCAGGGCCGAAGCAGGAGGCTCAAGGAGAATTACAATCCAGAGCTGCTGATAATTGAAGAATATAGTGAATGTGAGCCCTCCTCCCTATGGGACCCACGTGCCCACAGCTTCCCTACTCCCATAAAAGAGGCCTGACAGCAATGAGATGACAAATTCTTACACCAACACAAGTGGGTGATTTGACAGAATCTTATCCAAAACGCTAGTGCTGTTTCCTGAACGGGAACTCTCGAACGCCAGAACGAATGACTTCATCGACTTAACACAGCCGGGGCCCGAACGGGAACAGGAGTTTTTTGTTATTGCTGCCGAGCATGCTCTGTACCCAGGTACATCCGGAATCAGCGACAGGGCCCGTAGAGAGATCTGGTCACATCCCGGAGATGGCAGATCAAAAGAGTCGGAACAGGAAACCACATCCTCCTGAACTCACCAAACGATTTACAAATCCAACAAGAAACTTCAAAAATGCAAAGACCAACGAAATTCCCGAAGCAGTCTATAGCTATTCATCTTTGACGTCCAAACTGCTCGATCCAGGGCTGGCGAACCAGCATCTGACCCCTGATTCAAGATTAAGACAGAAACATTGTTTACTGAACGAGAAATTCTCCCAACAGGTAGAAAAAATGGATAATCAAGTGGGGTCCAACACACTAACCCGCGGACCTCCGTGTCAACCTGCCGAACGGGAACTCCTTGAACACAGGGATCTGGGCTTCATGATGGAGGCTACATACCGGGCAATTCAACCAAGGGATCCGGACTTTAAACAGAAAATCCCATTTCCAGGATTAGGTAACGAACGGGACCATGACGGCTGCTGACCCGGATTGCGTAGGGCCCACTTCCTTCGAACGCCCAAGCTAACGATGACATTCGGAAGGAGTCCCAAGGGGCCACCAGTTCACCATTGGAGGATCCTGAGCCAAGAGGCTACCAGCTCACATCAGCGGGCCATGGAGGAAGCAGATACTGCCGAAGCGCCAATCTCCTTTTAGAGAGTAGATCTCAGCCGATCAGGCGACTGGGCACATCCACCGAACAACATCCTCCCCTATGATTGAGATAGATTCTCCCGCTCGGGACATTCTGCCGTTCTCGCAAAACTTTGCCCACAAAATTATTCCTGTCCAGATCAGAGGGGGAAGATACAAATAAGACTACGAATTATCTCTCGAACGGCAATACCTTCTGAACAGATGAAAGTGGACAGCCAAGAGTAGACCACCTGCTCGTTACACCAGTCAAACGCTGCTCGGTCCCACAAGGTGCCTATGAAAGGCTTGCCAACCATCGACAGAACATCGACCGACATCTCATGGCCCTGTCCGGTTTGAAGTAAACACATAATTGCTCGGGCTACCTGTCCGACCAAACATCCGCAGGGGAAATTCCTGCTCCATTCCTGCTCCAAGGTCTGGCTACCAGAACGAGTGCCGCTCGGTCGCTTAAAATTTTCCGAGCAGACGGCCATTGGGCTTGAATAGCCAGATTCTCGTTCGGCACTACACCATCCGGCATCTTCACATCTTGCACATCGGCGTTCGGCAGATTCCCTCTATTAAAGCTCAACAGAGACTACCAGGGGGATGTGCTCGTAATTCAAGGAGTGGATGCAACCAATCGTTGCCAATCTCGATCCCAGAACCTCCACCAACCGGTGCTCATCCATATGCCATCTATCTGCTCGGCATTCGCATAAACCGGGTTCGTCGAGCTTCAACACAAAATCAGCTCAAGAAGTTGAAACGACCGACCATACAGTTACCCCGGTCGGCATCTCCACAGCCCGGAGATGAGTCTGGACATCATCATTTGGGGAAGATGAGTTCGTAGTTCGCGAAGTCTAGAAAGTCTCGAACGGCTCCTTGAAAGCCTCGCCCAGACTGATAACTTGATTTTAAATATGGAGCAGGCCGGGTCATGCTTGCTCTGGCTAAATCATTTGGTGGGCCGAGTATCGGTCCAGACGAGTTTCCTTGGGCTTGGTGGATCTTATCTATGAGGAAGGCTACATTATTTGTTAAGGGGGTGGATCAAATTCTCATCAGGCCAATATTTTGGTCCGGCAGCTGACGTGCACTTGTCGTGAGTTGCACTCAAAATAAATACAATACAACGAATATACGTAGTATAACGAAGTAAGGTTCGTATCCACAGGGAAAGGAATATTTTTCTTTTATATAAGTAGTAACAAAGGGGTTTAGATTTGTTTGATTTAAAAACACTAAGATGAACAACCTATATGAGTTTAATTTAATGAGATGAGGACTTGGTTTTGCTTTTATCCACTTAATGAAATGTTCGTCGATCCCGGTTATATATTTAACTGCACGCTTAACTTTGGAGTTCTTGGGTGATGAGCTCCCTTAAAAGGAGATGCACCTCTGTTGATATGAGTAGTACTATTAATCTTTTTAAATTAATCTCGGGTGTTACAATCACCCCCATTTAGGAACGCAACGTCCTCATTGCGCCCGTAAACCAATCTCAATCAAATCCCAGAATTTTTCCCCCCGCTAAGTGCCTGCCCGATATCCAACGGATCAACACACTGTCATAGGGTTGCTCTGATACCACCTGTAACACCCCCGCCTCGCAGGGACCCGAGGTAGTTACTCTAGACCAATAGTACTGTTCTCACAAACCGCCACTAGCCTTTTCCGCGTACTTTGTCCTCACTCGTGCGCGCCCTGAGAAACTTCCCAGGGGGTCACCCATCCCAAGACTACTCCCGTGCAAGCACGCTTAACTTTGGAGTTCTTGGGTGATGAGCTCCCTTAAAAGGAGATGCACCTCTGTTGGTATGAGTAGTACTATTAATCTTTTTAAATTAATCTCGGGTGTTACAATCTTCCTCTCGAATACTCAATCGAAGAGTATATCTAGTTCATCGAGGGTAGTTATTAATAACGAGATGCGTTCATTAATAAAATTTACTATCGAGTCAATATAGAACAAGCGCCGTATATTAACTTGATAGTAGCAATAAACTTAAGATGAAAACGATTGAGATTGATAACCTCAACACAAGCGGTTTATTGGTTTAATCAATATATTAATTCCCCTTGGCATATTAACCATGAGATGCATGTATTAATATTCCAAGTTTACTACCGTTGAAAGAACTGGATTAATAACAAGCGTATTAATCGATTGATTCTAGTAATAAATAATACGAGAAACAATACTAGTTGATACTTTAAGTAATGTTTAAGATATTAACATGAAATATGAATAGGAATTAATTAATACTCAAGGAAGAATATTAAAGAATATGAATCCTACTATGATTAATATCAAGATGTTGACTAATTGTCATCGTAGTAACACTCCCCAATATTAACATAGAGGAAGAAATAGCTATTGCTATAACCAATGTCAAGATGTTAACTAATTGTCATCTTAGTAACACTCCCCAACTTTGATATAAAAATAGTATTTTAAAGGAAGAATTAATATTCAAGGAAGAAGATTAAAGAAAATAACTCACAACTTACAAATTCATTAAGCTTCAAAGTAGCAAAACCAAGATGGAAGAGTTTAGCTCCTCATTTGGAGACTAAACATGATGAAAAATATAAAGAAAGAACTATTCTATACTGAGCTTAGATGTACAAAGGAATTGGATATCTTTTTGTGAAGGAAAGGAGGTGTATTTATAGGCTTTTGGGATGGGATTCGGGTACTCGATCGGGTATATACATGGTACCCGATCGAGTATGTGTGTAATACTCGATTCGAGGTGTACTCGATCGGTTTCAGGCTATTTTCCACAAGTATACCCGATCGGGTATATGTTTATACCCGGTCGAGTATGCTTAGAAAGTGGTATTCGGACCATACTTGACCGATCTTCGTTTAAAAACTCAAAGGCATACCCGATCGGGTATGTCGGTCTACCCGATCGGGTATAGACATTAAATCGTGGCCGAAATCCTCCCGACATGTTCCCTTGTCTTCGGATCTGATCTGATTTGAAGTTTCAACCTAATACCCGATCGAGTAGAGTTAATACTCGACCGAGTATAGACCAAAATTCAGGATCCTTATGTTGTCTTCAAATTTTGCACCTTCTTTCCACTTTTTGGTTTCACCAACTGTACTTTGAGTGATCAAGACCTGTTTGAGCTCAGAATATATCTAATCTAAACTATTTACAAGAATTTAACAAACTAATCTATTACACCAAAAGTGTGTAATTTCCATAGTAAAGATCAAGCAAAACTAATTAAAAACACAAACATGCATATGGAAATTACAAACGTATCAACTCCCCCACACTTAAACCTTTACTCGTCTCGAGTAAGATCAAATGTTCACAAGTGTCAAGTTTCTTCAAAGTTTCCACAATTTTAAAAAACATACAAACACAAAGACCACCAAGGATGACAAAAAAATGAGTATTAAACTCAAATTACAAAGAACATCTTGGGTTTAATGGCCTTCTAGTGTTCATCTTCTCTTCTCCTCCTCTCTTTTTCTTTGTCTTTATTTCCTGAATCTTCTTATTCTTCAAAGAGATACAATGAGTGCCTGCAAAAACAAACATTTCTCTCATATCTCTCATTTTGCCTAGGAGCCTTTTCAGGTTTTCATCCTAGCATCTCTTTTCATTTTCCATTCTCCCCAACTCACTCATTTTTTTATAAGCCTTTTTTGCTTAGATTGCCCATTTTGTTGGGTTTTCAACCTAACTAGCATTTATTTTCTTTTATTTATTCTCTTTTTTTTTCTTTTTTTGTGTGAATAGTTCAAAAGAATTACATGCATAGTACTAGGTGGAAATTAAAATTACATACCATCATGAGTCTCTCCCCCGCACTTGAATCAAGCACTGTCCCTAGTGCCCGTCTTCTCCGCCGTAGTAGCTCCCTCCGAAGCCGCTCCCCTGCCCACCATCTCCCATATATGTGTCCCCGCCATCTCCGTCGTCGTACCCTCCACCCCCGGAGCCAGATCCTCCAAAGTTACCCCAATGAGTGGGGTCATACCACGAGGGTGGTGGAGGGGGGTTTGCCATGGTATGAAAAGATCCCTGATGTGCCATGTAAGAGTACATAGGTCCATAGAACCTACGTTGGTCTTCTTCATACCGATGTCTATCCGCTTCCCTGAGCTCCTCCAATCGCTGAAAACCGGCCCTTTGCTCCTCCTGTATTTGATTGAGCCGGTTGTCCATAGCCGTGTAGTTTGCGTTCATTTGGGCGTACCCCGTGAGCAATTGTTGTTGACCCTCCAAAAGTTGTTGAAAGAAGTCGGGTGGTGGAGGGTTTTGGTTTTGTTCAGGGATGTCCTGGCCCATGTCTTGATGGCTATGGAGTTGAGCATAGGGCTCGTAATCGGGTTGGTGTTGGGGAGGTTCTTGCTCCGGTTCCTGGAGATGTGGTGGAAGGGCGTGTGGGAAGAGGTAATGGCGCTCATCTACTGCTTCTTTGTAGTGGAGTTTGGGGAGTTCTGGGTTGGGCAGGAGGAAGTATTTGAGGGGTTTGGGGTGTATGAGCCAGTTGTACATATTCTTTGGTCTTTCTCCACCATAAACTATGTGGGAAAAAACTGTACAACCCGAGTGGCCCAACCAAGAAATGTTCATCAAACAATAGTCGGGTATAGGAGAGTTATCCGTATACCCGAACTTGGTGGCTAAGTGCATAATCACCCCACCCACCACAATAGCGCCCTTGGCTACACTTTCTTTTTTTAGATGTGCCCACATAAGATTACACGGGTTGAAATCCACGTGAACACGGAATAGGGCCACAGACATTAGGCATACACCCCCCATCCTAGTGTGATGGTTGTTGGGACGTCCAAGCAAGCAATTGGCAAGCAATTTCAAGAATAGGCGGAGGACGGGATGTTGGACATGACTAATATACAGTTGGGAGGAGCTAAATTTAGTCTCTCCGGTCATCTTTGTCCATAGGGTATGGCCGAAAGCGGTATTGTCGGATATGAATTTTTGGTAAGGGACCGGAATACCAAAATGTTCGGCGAACTCAAGTTTCGTGATGGAGTGGTTGTGGTTAAACAGACGAAACTTGAGTTTATCATCCCTAAAATCCGCTTCATCGGTCTCAAATTGCACCGAGCTTATGAATTCATAGATAATTTTTTCATTCGAGTGATATTGCATTTTGAATATCTTATCCATGCTCAACTCATCAAAAAATTTCTTAGTGCTTTTGTACACTTCTAACTCATTGAGGGCATAATGGCATAAAAAACGAGAGGGTTTTACTTGCCTTTCAATGGTGGACATGAAGCGGGTGCGGTGTTCGTTGTCGGTGAAGATGATGTCCTCGTAGCCTGGGATGGATGCCCTAGTGTTGGAGCTCTGTCCTTTTTCCTTCCTTGGAGCCATTTTTGTGTGATTTTGGGCTTGAAATCCGAAAATTGAAGGTTGGGGTAGGGTTTTTTTCGGACCTATTGAAACTGGGGGAGAATTGGATTGGTGGGTATGGGTGTGTAGAGGAAGATGAGGGGAGTGTTTTGGTGTTGAAATGGGGTGATTTGGTGAAGAAATGGAGGAGATATGGTAGAGAGAAGTGTTAAAAATGGAGGTTGGGGGAGAGGGGTTCGAATTTGGGTTTGGAGATTTGGGGAAGATGATGTGTTTGGGGCGGATTTGGGGTTAAAACGCCTGTATACCCGATCGTGTATGTGCTCTTACTCGGTCGGGTATGTCTGGAAAGTAGGGTTTTTGAGCAGCCTGCCTCCGGTACTCGATCGGGTATGTGTTGTTACCCGGTCGAGTATTGCTGGAAACTGAAATTGTTGAGTGGTCTGCCTCCGGTACCCGGTCGGGTATCATTCTATACTCGATCGGGTATGTGTTGTTTTCTACGTTTTGAGGCATGTACTCGATCGAATGTGGGCATCAGTTTCCCTGGTACTTCGACTTTCTGTACATACTCGACCGGGTATATAGTGATACCCGATCGAGTATGTCTATTTTCTTTCAAAAGTTGAGTGCTTCCTCGATCGAGTAATGCCCGGTTCCCTTTCTTTTAGCCATACCCGACTGAGTATAAAGTGGTACTCGATCGGGTATGTCCCCAGATGCTCCAAACTTGCATTTTTTTTTCTTTTCCTCCAAAAACCTGTGATTAGTGCCCTCTCTCACTGATCTCTCAAATAATTAAACAAAAAAATGAATTATAAACACTCGAATTTATGAAAAAATAAACTTGGGTTGCCTCCCAAGAAGCGCCTTAGTTAACGTCGTGGCACGACGTTATTCATTTTTTTTAAGTGGGATCGGGAACATCCCTTGATTCATTTTTTGTGGCCTTATTTAGCCATTTTTCAAATTTATTTTTCGACCTT